ATGTCTTTTTCACTTCTCAGGCTGAAATCAACAGTGTTACATTTAGTTGGATTTAGTTTAAGACCATTTGAGCGAGACCAATCCTTAACTTCAGCTAGGAAGCCATTCATATAGGAACAATCCGATGTGGCAACTACAGGGACAGAAACGGTCAGGTCATCAGCATACTTAATGAAGTTAACTTCGGGTGAGTTCGGAAGGTCATGCAGAAAGAAAGAGAAAAGAAATGGAGAAAGTACTGCACCTTGAGGCACACCACTTTCAGTTAGCTGGGAAGTGGAGCGCTTTCCAGCCAAAACAGTATGCTGTTTCCTATCCTTAAAATAAGAAGACAGCCATCTAGTTGCCCAGGACTCTGTTTGTGCTGAATTCATCTTGCCTAATAAAAGTGTCCTAGGAACAGAGTCAAAAGCTGCAGTATAGTCTAAGAAAGCTGTTCGAACGAACTTAGCGCCCTTATCAAGGCAGGAAACAATATTGTGGTGTAGTACAATGGCTGCATCTAATGTACTTCTTCCACACTTATAAGCAAACTGCTTAGGGTCACTAAAAGCTTTTAAAAAAGGTTTAAGAATATTCAAAAGAAGTTTCTCCATTGTTTTCAAAAAAGGAGATGTTATAGCGACTGGTCTAAACTTTATACCTGCTCCAGAAGATGATTTCTGTACAGGTACAACCTTGATTTCTTTCCAGTCAGCAGGTACCGTTTCCCTCTTAAATGATGCGTTAAAGATTTGAGTAAGAGGATGACACAAGATGTCTGCACACTTTTGGAGAAGAATGCTTGGTACACCATCTGGACCAAGGCTGTGTGTTGGATTTAATGACTTCAAACATAATAGTACATCCTTTTCTTCAAAACCCTGAAAATTACCATTTTCTTGACTAGGTACATCAGGTACAACCATATTACTTTGTTTCTTGATAAATGATTTGTTTAAAGCATTTACATCAGAATAAGCATCAACGGACATTTGTTTTTTACTTGTTAGTTTATTGAAAAGTTTCCAAATGTTTGAAGGATTTTTACATGATAAAAATGTTTCATTATATAGTCTGTTCAACCTTTCTATTTCAATTTTTATAAGGGTGTTTATTTTACGGACACCAGTATTATCACAATTCTTATACAACATCTCTTTTTGTCTTCTAAGTTTTTTCAGTTGCAAAGAAGAGATTCTGTCAAATCTCGAAAACAGTGTTTCATAAGGACAGCAAATATCCAAACAAAACTTCAGATAATCGGTTATATTAGAGACAGTAGCATCCAACTTATCGTCAGTAAACAGTTCCCAGTTGGTATCATGCAACATGCTTCTTAATGCTAGAATGTTGTCATGGGAATATGAACGTTCATGTATCTTCTTTGTTAAATGACTAAACAATGTTCGTTGTAACTTGCCGTACACTTTCGGTAAAATACGAATAATGCAGTGGTCAGAATTTAGCAAAGGAGCTCTCCTTCGGGTTTCATATACATCACGGTCATTTATGAAAACCAGGTCTAGTGATTTGTCCAGACGTGTATTAAACTTGACTAGATTCTCATGACCAAGCGAAGTAAGAAAGCTGTGATCACATAAATTAAAATCACCACAGATTATAGACAACGAGTTTCCGAATGCAGGAGCAGCGAATTCAGTAAACTCATCTGCAAACATAACTATATTAGAAAGGCTACAATTGGGTGTTATGTAAATATTTGTTATGTATATATAAGAATATTTACTTAAGTGTTTTGGGCGACACCTGACGGTTATGCAATCTATACTGTCATTAGAATAATTGAAGCAAACGTGATTTGATGTAGACCAATTTGTGTTTATATATGTGGCTACCCCTCCTCCATATTTTTTCTTGGAACTATTTCTATCTTGGCGAAAAACTTTATATCCATTTATTGAAATTAGATTATCATCATAATGCTGGTGCAGCCAAGTCTCTTGTATTGCTAAAACGCCAGCATTTCGATAAACATTGGAATACATTAGGGATTGAAGGTAATCCATTTTGTTGGACAGGGATCTACAATTAGTGCTAACGAGTTCAGGAACAGTCATTTGATTAATTTGTGTACGTTTCGGTGCACGCTGCCAGCCACCGTGATGCTTTTTTCTCAATTTTTGTGGATGACACAACGCGGTAGGTTGTAATGATTTTAAAAATGCGCGATTATGTATAATACGATTAGGACACATTATTGATAAATTAAAACAAAATTAAAAGAGCAAACCAAAGCAATTTTGCAAAATGTTGTAAGGTGGAATTTTTGGTAGCCCTATGTTCAAGCAGGCCGCCAGATATGCTTACGGGTGGACTACACACGGATCATTTACACTGACGTTGTCATGAGTATCCGTACCTTCTGCAACCGCATCTGCCTTCAAGTTTATTTCACGTTCAAGTTGTACAGAACTTTTATTTAACACAGTAGTGGTAGTAGTAGGCATTCTGCTCATATCATCATGATCAGCCAAAGATAGATCTGCACTATCATGATCATTATCACAAATATTCACTTTGCCGTCGTCTATTTGACCGTCTTCATCATTTTCAAACTCTTTAATAACAGCAGTAGACAATTTGGGTTCTTCCTCACAAATCCTTATGGGTTTTATACCTCCACTCTGACTAGTAATACCTTGAAAACTTGTGAAGCCAGAACTGCACTCTGAAACTGTAACTGTCTTCTTTTGCACAAACTGCGGTGCCATCTGTGACACTCCATTCAACAATGGCTTACCAGCTGCAACTACAGGATTCTCCACTGCCCCATTATCGTCACACAGTTCGGAGTCAGAACTTGATGACGCTGATTTCACATTTAGCTTATCACTAAACTTGCTCACTGATTCACAGTTCGCCTTTGTATGCACTTCTTGCAAACGTGTAAAACACGACCGTGTCTGTTTCGCAACTTGTAACCTATCTGTTGGGGATGTCCCATGAAAGCTATTACACTCACTAAGTTTATATGGAATACTAGACACCATAAAGCTCTCTCGATATCCACTTCTCTGAGACCCTTTCGTCGTAAATGGTTGTGTTTTGCTCTCAGACTGCTGTATTCTAGGGGTAGAATGCAATAAACTGGCAAACTTGCTCATAGAATAATTGACACTATCTTTTACCAGTTTCAGAATATCATCAAACTTTGGCTCAATACCTTCATCCTCTATACGAGAGCTTATCTTCATCCAGTTCCTTTGCAGTCGAGTAGGTAGGCGTCTCGCTATTACTTCTAGGACGGAACTTGAGTTCACACCACTCATGCAATTCATCGAAATCAATGCGTTCTTGTAAGTCATCAGATTATCCAAAAACTCAGAGAGTGCCTTGTAGTCATCTTGTAACTGACTATCATTACCTTTATCAGCCTCGAATACATTCCTTAAAATCATCGAAGGCCTTCCAATCCTTTGACGCAGGATACGCATCGCCTCAGTATATCATTCGTTTGGGGGCATAACCTTACAGCACTTTATAGATCTTTCAGCAACACCAGTGCAGTACCTCAACAAACACATTACTTTCATTTCATCATTTAATAAAAAACCACTCAACATGATCTCAAACTCTTTGATAAACTGTGGGTAGTCGGTTGGGTTTCCATCAAAGTACTGGGGCTCGAATTTGGTAAAATTTAAACCCTTACTATCCCTAAACGGCGAAGCATGAACAACAGACTCATCATGCTGAGCATCATACATACAATTAACAAGTAACTTAGCATTACTTACTTTTCTAACTGCTTCCGAGACGCCTTGTCTCTTCCGTGACCCAGGCATCACTGAACTTGACCAAAAAATCTTGAAAAGTTCTAGATAACACTTGTCCAAAAAAGTTGGGCAGACACGAGGAAAGACGAACTGCCGACAAATACGGCAGATAATCCCAGGAGATATCAGAAACTGCCAATGTCCAGCTCTAACTACACTGGACTTAACACCTTCCTTAGAAGACCTTCAGCAACAATGTGAAATAACTAACGCAAAATCCAGAACACGGATCGGCGACTGGAGAATACTTTATTCTTGCACCAATATGTAACCAACAATAAGGTTTCTGATAGTGTTTCTCCGACTTCTGACAAACAGCGAACGATGGAACGATAACTGCAGTATCGATGACTCCCTCCAAAATATGGAGATGGTTTTGTGAGCAAACAACTGTGAATTGATCGTTCATTCTTCAACTACATTGTCATTATTATTTATCCTATCGTTCCATTTGTAGTCTTCTACTCGTAGCTTCTCATTTCACCGTTTCCCTCTGTTTCTCATGTACTGTATTTAATTCAACGACTTTTCCATTTAGCTTGGCAACTGTTTTTTAGTCACTTGTCCACTTGATCTACTTCCGAGTGCCTTGGTATCGTATTCCCAAGGGTGTTTTCGGCTAATCTGAAAGACTGTTTGGTAAGATGTCGATTGCAAGTGCCAGTGGTGGAATTAATTTGAAGAAAAATACACATACAATCAAAGACAAAGTGATGACATGCTGACACGAACTATACAGTTTGTTTGCAAGAAATGCATCATATCATCTGCTCTATGTATTACCCAGTAAGGCAGTCCCATTAAATAGCGTCACTACGCATGATAGGCCATTTTGATTTAAAAAGCTATGGTAGGGATTTAATCGAATCAAGACAATACAGACATGTAAAATGCTGGATGTTGTCAGTTCACCGTTGATATAGCTTCAACAAGATGCACCGCTATAATTGACTACAGCGTTACAGTTATTGCTTCGACCCTGTGAGATGTAATGGAATTTATTTAGTCTACTGATTACCAACTTTTTCGATAATTTTTTCACAATAAGCATAAATTCACAGAAATGTTCACTGAATAAACTGGTTTTGTTTTTCCTTTTTCTTCAGAACAATTCGCAAGCTGTCAACCTAACTCAATATCTACAATTTACCTTCACACATAAGAACTCTGTCTTATAAGCCGTCCATACTACTGATGTGCTGAATATTTATTTATTGTACAATGGACTTAGATCACTGGATGGAGTGTGTGAAAACTTGTAAATATCTCCCTGAAAACGACTTACGGAAACTATGTAACTATGTCAGTGAGCTATTGATTGAAGAATGCAATGTACAGCCAGTTAGCTTCCCCGTGACTGTATGTGGGGATATTCATGGACAATTCTATGACCTTTTGCAATTATTTCGCACAGGAGGTAAACTCCCTGATACAAATTATATTTTCATGGGGGATTTCGTCGACCGTGGATACTACAGTCTTGAGACATTCACATTACTACTTGTTTTAAAGGCTAAGTATCCTGATAGGATAACACTACTGAGGGGAAATCACGAAAGCCGGCAGGTCACTCAAGTGAGTTTCATGTCTCTCTGCATTTAAATTTATAGATTCTTTGGCAGCTATTTTGATCTATCTTACCACTGAGCTTGAGTAATTATTAGAATTAAAGAGCTACGAGTTTCGAAATTGTTAAAGAGATGTTCATGTATCGAGGTGGCTGCCATAGTTTCACATCGTCCTCTAATTGTTCTTACTAAGTATGATCGGGTCGTGAGACTTATGTTTGTGGTATTTCTGTCCACTACAAAGTCCGATAGAATTACTATTCATGTTATTTTGAATAACTTCTTGGTACTTTTGAATGATTAGCTAGGAACATAACACGGTTAACCTTAAGAATAGCTCAGTGAGAAATTTGTAAGTAGTAGTCACAAGTAACAACCAGCATTGTTTACTTATTTTGGTATACGCAGAAGTCACTATTTACTATAATTTACGTCGCCAAATAAATGCTTTTGGATTCCTGAAAGCCGGTTTCTGTCCATGCCCCAAAAATATATTACAAGGGAAAGCCTAAAAATTCAATTTCTTACCGAAAGTGGTCAAAATTTTCAAGATTCTACGTGTGCGTCGCAATTACCTCTTGCAAAATCTACCCAGTCATTTTCACAGAGTCATATAAAATGAATGTGACTACTACTGGTCGTTTTAGTTTCCTTAGAATATATCATTTTGAATACACACTAGTGTCTTGGATTCAGTACGTTTTTTCGCTTTTCTGAAGCTTCACGAAGTGTCTTCTAAGGCCTCAGTTTTTGTAAGGAATACTTTTCTTGTTTCCCAATAATGCTAATTCATAGCACCTAAAGGTACCAAAGACTAGAAAGTCAGTTTGTCTAATCCATATCATCCTGCAGTGGTTGTTTTAAAATATCACTTAAAACCAGCGATTTCTTTGTTAATATCATACTCCGCTTACTTTAGTTAGGGCTACTGGGAAGCATAACTAATATCAACACATTGAGTGTTAGTGGTAATCTTGAGCCCGAAAAAAATATGTGCTGGGTAAATGTTTCTCCATTGTTATTAAGATTGAGGAGGATCTAGTAATATTTTTCTACTCATAGTAGTAGACGTTACCGCGTATTTCAGAGCTACCCACTGTTGTACTGTGTAATTTTAAAAGTGTTCTACTGAAACTAATTCTTGCAGTTTTGATTAATAATTCAGTATTCTTGACTAACTAGGAAGTTTAGAAGTATTCTTACGCGTCAGTCAAAGAAATTCCTGTCTTCGTGTTTTGAAACGCTTGTGAAAATCTTAACCTCTTTATTAGGAAACCTGACGAAGCACTAATCATATATACCCTGGTTTATATTGTCATGTTCTCTCGCGTAAAATCGGTTATTACATGCTACAATGACTTGTCAAGTGACACTATTCATGTCTCTTATTATTTAATTAAATTATTCAAAGCAAATGTATAGCATTTACACCAAGAGGTGCGTCATACGACTAATCCAATAACAGCATAAGTAAAAGGTGAATAAGTCTTTTTTGAGAGGAAGGTAGAACCAGTAATTTTACCTTGTCCTTTCGTTACGCCGTATTACCCCCGGAAGCAGAAGAATAAACGTGCACTGTTTTTGCCATAGATGTCGCTCCTGAGCCATATCTAATAACATCCCAACCCACTGAGTCTTTCGGTCACCAGGAATCCAACCAGGGAGTCTCGATGCACAAAAAGATGCTAGCTCAATACACATTTCATCAATGAGAGACACGTAAATGAAAATAAATTTACGATTCTGTTAAGGATATAAGATAACACATGAATAAAAGCTTCCCTTTTAAAACTTAAATTGTCGAAACTTTATGACAGTGTAACAACAAGCTGTCTGTCTGTCTGTTTTCGACATAGAACTTTGCACAAATGTGCGGAAGTTCAAGTCGCCACATTCCGTGTAGCACGCGAAGCAAGAGAAGAAAGTACAAGAAAAGCATAATAGAAACAGTGAGCAGAGGTGTGAGACAAAGGAGTAATAAAGAAATACAAAACAGTTTCATTGAAGATCATAAGTCACAGGGAGTGGATGCATCTGCGCCACTGAGAACGATTTTGAGCCATGTCACCAATTGTTTCCAACCATAGATTTTTACCGTCCCGAGGACCCCAGCCTGGAAGTCTACACCTTTCTACGTGGCTTAGACCAACTGTTGTGGATTTCATTGACTGATGCCAAGTTTTTGTTTGACCGCCGCTAGCTTTTTTCCAGCCTGACCCTATATCCGCTAACATTGCTCGTCGAGGGAGGCGATGGCTTGGCATACGTAACACATGTCCTAACCATCTCAGTCTTTGTAGCTTCACGACTTCGTCGATTGATTTCCCCTGTTTACCTAGAACTCTACGCCTAACCTCCATGTTGCTCACCTTATTATGCCACTTTACACGGGAAATAGAACGCAGGCACCTATGATCAAAGACAGCTAGTCTTTTCATGTCTTCCACTCTCAGTGGCCAGGTCTCACAACCATAAAGGAGGACGGAGCGGACTGATGAGCAGTACACCCGCCCTTTGGTCGATAGTCGAACATCTCGTCTACGCCAGAGTCGGCGTAAACTAACAAATGCGAAACGAGCCCCTTGTATTCGTGCTGAGATTTCGTCAGAGATCAGCCCGTTGGGGCTGATGGTACTTCCCAAATAAGTGAAGCGGTCAACGTGCTCTACCACTTCACTTCCTATTTTTAAACTAGGCGTCGATGTAGTCCAGTCCTGTAACATCATCTTGCATTTGGCGGGAGCGAATCGCATGCCAAACATTCGTAGATTGCGGCTCAAGGTGTTTAGAAGACTCTGCATTTCGTCAGCGTCTTCGCCTAGAAGGACTATATCGTCTGCATATTCCAAGTCAACGAGATTATTCCCCGGTAGCAAGTCAATCCCTGAGTCGCTGAAGTCACCTAGGGTTAAGTCCATTAACACATCTATGATGAAGTTGAATAGAAAAGGAGATAATGGGCATCCTTGACGGACACCACTGGTCGTCATCAGTTCAGATGACAGCTCGCCGTAAGCCCTCACCTGGCTGTATGAGTACGAGTAGAGTGCCTTAATCAGTGCAATATATTTTCTTGGAATTCCCTTTACAGCCAAGCATCTCCAGAGAACTTCCCGATCGACAGAGTCGAATGCTGCCTTTAGGTCAAGAAATATAATGACTGTTGGACGCCGGTAGGAATGCCTATGTTCTAGAATCTGTCGGAGGGTGAAGATATGATCAATACACCCTCTTCCTGGTCTAAAGCCTGCCTGGCTCTCTCGTGTTTGTGCTTCCCGAGCACCACTCAGTCTACGCATGATTATTGAGCCTAAGACTTTAGATACTATATTAGTCAAGCTAATCCCTCTGTGATTATCACAGGAAGACTTGTCTCCCTTCTTGTATATGGGGATAATCAGTGACTTACACCAACCCGATGGGACTTCTTCTGATTCCCAGACGCTGCCTAGTACCTCAGTTAATCCGGACAGTAAGCTGTCTCCACCGTACTTAAATACCTCTGGAGTCATTCCATCAGGTCCCGCTGCTTTGCCTAGTTTCAGATTGGTGACAGCTTTAGTAACCTCAGTTAGTGACGGAGGACCTGTGTCTATATCCCATTCAGGGAGGTGTTGGATGCTCGGAAGGTTGAGCGTGGCTGTGGGCAAATTAAACTGCTCCTCATAATGCTCTTTCCAACGATCCAGTCGTCTATCCTGGGAGCTAATTATAGTGCCATTTTTTTCCGAGATTGTCTCACTAATGATTTGTCTTCTCCCACCCGTTTCCCTGATGAGTCCAAAGAGTTGCCTGGTGTTGCCTATCCTCGAAGCTTTCTCCATCTCTTTGGCTTTTGTCGCCCACCACTGTTCACGGTCCTTGCGGAGACTTTTCGTAAGTTTCCTCTTGTGCAGCTTTCGCTCCTCATTGAATTCGGAGCTCGCCGGAATAAGTCTTCTAGCATCTATCAGTTCGGATGAGGCGGTGGAGATCCAGTGGTTTTTACTCACCTTTGGGTTTACCTTATTCACAGCTTTTACAGCTGTATCTATGGCTGCCTGGATATTTTTCCAAGCTTCTTCAGGGTGAGCACAGCTGTCGAACACAGATATGTGTTTAGCTAGTTCTTCCTGAAATACGGATTTAGTTTCCTGATCGAGCTGGGGACGTGATGGTTTTACCGCCAGCTGTTTCCTACGTCCGTTCAGTCGTAAGCACACCCGAGCGCGGACCAGTGCATGGTCGGTATCTACGCACGTGTTCCAGAAGGAGCGACAATCTCCTACCGACCCACGCCAACGATAGCTTATTGCTATGTGGTCTATTTGTGTCCAGCGTTGGTTTGATGAAGGGGGTCTCCAAGTCAAACAGTGTCTCTCCTTGTGTTTGAAGTTAGTGCTTACAAGAAACAAATGATTATCAGAGCAGAACTGTAGGAGACGGTCACCGTTGTCGGTTCGCTGGCACGGAGCTCCATAGGTGCCACCGACATCCTTCTCAGATTGACACAATTTCCCTACTTGAGCGTTAAAGTCACCAGCTAGAACGACTATGTCTGAGCGTTTAGCCTTTCCACCAAACTAGACAGCTTTTGGTAGAACTCATCCTTCGTTTCATCTGAACTGCAGTCAGTGGGGGCGTAGGCGGAGATTACGAAAAGGCATCGGCGAGTAGTGCAGTCCTTCCTCCTTCTTACTGATCCGTTCAGGCGGACAGCACACATTCGGCTATCTACCGGGATCCAGTCAAGCAATGTCTTTTCTGCCCTAGTACTCAAAGCTATCCCTACGCCAGCTAATCCTCGTGAACTAGCTGTGGCATCTCCTGACACCCTCAAGGTGAATTTTGCAGATTCAACCTGTTGGCCAGGTGGGGTTAGGTGAATAACCACACTTGGGTCTTGTATGCGTGTTTCTGAAACACAGCATACATCAATGGCTCGTGATGCCAGGGTCTTGGCTAGTGATGCTTGTTGTCCTATTTGGCAAAGTGTCCTAACATTAAGAGCTCCTATATGAAATTGGTGGCGCGGCTTTAAGAGGCTGTCGGTGGTGGTTTTTTGGCTTCCATCGTTTTTAGTGGACGCAGAGTGGAGAGGAAGTGGAGAGCTATCAAGTCGAGGAGTTGCATCAGTGGAAGGAAGGCAAGATGATAGAGATGAAGATGAAGACAAAGATGAGTGAGTAATAGAGAGGTTTCGTGTGCATTTCGGATTGTGAGGGCGATTGTTACTTCCCGGCTGCCCACACCGTGGAAGTTGGTTGCGTGACCGCAGAGCCCAGGGGACAACTGCTTGAGGCCGGTCACACGCGGCCTGTTTTTGTTCGTTCTTTTTTGTTTGGTGTGTCTCAGTAGCAGATTTATCACTCCTGCCCTGTGACACGGCAGCAGGAAGCGCGGTCGTTGTTAATCCGGGCCACGGCCGATCCGGCATGAAATTTTGTAATTTTGTATTGGACATGATGTTGGATTGGGTAGCTGCTTTTTGTTTAACCGCTATCCAAACAACCTGCCTGGCATGGTAGAACCTCAAGAGACATAAGTCTCAGCCAGTATAGCTTGAATAGATCATTGCGGTGTTCAAGCCCGACCACCACGTCAAGGTAGCAGCTTTCGGTCGGGTTAAACAACAAGCAGTTTTATTATGAAAAAATACGACATTGAATAACTTTAAATGTTCCTAAGTTTAGGAGTTTCGAATTTTTGCATTAGAATAAGTATTTTTTTAGTCTGACGACAAGCTGTAGTACTTTTTTGGAATTGATTCCGATTAATGTTTTCCAAAGATGTTCTCTCTATTTGAACTTCTTGGTTTACATATTATCCTAGTATGGGTGATTACTACTGAGGCATTTTTCTTTGTCAACACAAGGTTAGCTGTTAATTAGGTGTCTGCACCAGTCAGTCTTCTTTTATTTGTGATCACGGTAATTCTACGAGACATCTGTTCACATCCTATAATAGTACATTGTTTTTCTACATTTGACTAACATGTCTATTATTTCTGCAATTTTTGTTCCATTCTCACAACTTTCTTAGTGTTATGGCTTCTACGATGAATGTATAAACAAATATGGCAATGCAAATCCGTGGCATTATTGTTGTAAAGTATTTGATCTCCTCACCATAGCTGCGTTGGTTGAAGAAGAAGTTCTTTGTGTTCATGGAGGTCTTTCACCAGAAGTCAAAACACTAGATCAAATCCGGACAATTGACAGACATATGGAAATACCTCATAAAGGACCATTATGTGACATTTTATGGTCAGATCCTGATGATGTAGCTCAATGGACAGTTAGTCCTCGTGGTGCAGGATACTTATTTGGACCAAAGGTATGATTTAATGTAATTTCTTCTATTCTATTCTGTACCACCTCTAACATTTTCAAAACTAAATGACAACATATTTACGTTCGTCGTATGAATATAAATAAAACTTCAGCTTACTTATATTGTGTACATACAGTAAACAGAAACAAATGGCAATGAACATAGAAACAATATGGTAATGGAAGTAGTCAATCACTGCATACATATTCTACAGTTGTTCTTTGCATTTGAAAAAGAGAAATCTTAGCTCGTTGTCCGGTTTTATTGCATAGCTAGACTGTATGAACTGTAGCAAATTTCAATTTATTTTTGAGAGATTTTCTGGGTATAACTTGATTCCACATCGTATTTTGGGTACAAGTATGGAATTTTCAGCATGTGATATCGGTAGCCCAAATTTTGCAGGCCGACCAATCGGTATCAAGTATGCGTCGGTAGGGGATCAAACTCTGGACCATTTGCATGGTCGGCGAGAGTCCTAACCGCTGTACCACCGACTCACTTGGCCACTGAAATTTCATTATATGAGATGTATCCTTATAGAGTAAACTTTTTAGAACTGGAGATGAGTTAAATATGAACCGTGTAATGTAGCAGTCATAGTTCGATCGGTATGTCTGTCATTGTTGTAAAACTTGACTTCTGACTAAAGCTCATACATGATCTAGTATAACAAACTTTTACCAGGTATTTAAGTTATATAAGTCTGAATAATTTAGTTGGCCAAAACAGAATGGTAATCGGTTATCATGTTCATACGGTAGTTATGCTTAATTTGTTTAAAATAAACATCCTAAAACCAATGTTACATATTCTTATATGTATATATTTTTTCAAATTGTCGATACACTTTTAGGTTACTCAAAAATTTGTTGAACTGAATGGTCTAGAAGTTATTTGTAGAGCTCATCAACTGGTGCATGAAGGTTATAAATCTATGTTTGATGGACGTCTTATCACTGTTTGGTCAGCGCCAAATTATTGTTATCGTTGTGGAAATATTGCTGCAATCTTGGCGTTTAATAGTCCAACACAATTTGAAGCTAAGCTTTTTAATGCTGTACCAGATGAAGAACGAGTTAAACCTCCTCTTAGAATTACACCTTACTTTTTATGATGTAATCTTATGAAGAATATGTATCATTCATACCCCCTAATATCACATTTCACTACTTTTTAGTCTTTTATGTCCCCAGTGTTCAAATATGAAGACAAAAGATTAAAATCATACACTTTTAAGCGGAGGTGAACGATTGAATACTGGTTGTTATAAATATCTACGTTCATTTGTTTGTTTTTATCAGAACTTTTCACTTTATCTCTCTATTAAAAAAGTTTTCTTGAATGACACGGTATTATTGTACCAGAAAACAATCCGTGTATTTGTTGTTTTGTACTTAACTTACCTGATTGAACCCTTTGACTATCCTAGATTGTCCTTCCTTTCACCTTTTAATATTTTGATTGTTTTGTATATAATTTCAAAAGGTTATATATGGATTCATAACTACCTATATGAAGTTATTCAAGCGAATTTCTTGCGTCGTATTTGATAAGTGGGCATTTCCGACTTATTACTACTAACCTAACATTTGTGATAAGGTGTTTAGAAAGGGCAACCTAGGTCAGTGAATGCACAAAAGTATGAGGTTTGATCAGTGTGACTGTGAGTTAGGGGAAGAGAACTGAGAGATAGACAGTCAGGAAGACAGAAAGTATGCTTAAGAAGAGAACTTGTTATTAAGGTGGCTTTTTTCATACCCCTACTATGAAGTCAATATTTATTTGGACTATGCCATTTCAGTGGTCATGCGTAGCCTTTTTTAAAGATGCACAGAATACTTTTATGGAAAATTCACAACAGATAGTTATTAATGTCATGAGCCATCTGTATGGCGAATAAAACATGGCTAAACGTTTGCTACTCCTTGTTGCGTGAATAGATTAGAGGGGCAATCCTATTTAGACATGAATTGTTCCCTTCAATGTTTTCAGAAGTAGTAATAGAAAAAGTTGTTTTTGATATTTAACTTGAAAATCTCACGTGTGCAATGTAGCGGGTGTTGCCAACTCATTAACTTTTAATAGATGCATTAGTAAGATGAACCGTAGTGATGACAATTCGTAAAAAATAACTTACATGTCGAAGTTAACATTCTTCACATCAGTACACCTAGTATAAAGTCAACATGGAGGAAAAGTGAAATGAAAAAAACAGTAATCTATCTGAAAACAAAACAAAGACAACAGGACATAAAAGCTAAAACAAGATGTCTTTACGGGACCTCTTGTTTTCCTTCTAAATAAAGGAATGTCACAACAGAAATTTCAAAACTTAGAAGAGAACGTCAAGTGTAGATGCCTAAGGAATCCGTCGGAGCATACTTTTGAAGCACAACAGTGACTGGACTCGTATTGTATGGCTACAGTTTTCACCGTGACAATTTTACTACTTGCCAAATTAGATTAGGTGATCAGCGTAATGGAAGTGTAGTCTGTTTTTTGGAGATAGGACATTCAAATCTCTTTCAGAACAGTTAACGGCATGAAATTCAAGTTGTCTCAATTGAAAGATCGAATTTCCAACCATTGAATTTAAAAATCATCTGCTAGGTAACCTCCATCTATCTTGTAAATGAGAATTACAATTCCCACCAACCCCACCCTCTTTTTTAATATACTTTAACTATACTCATGACAATTCCATCCTTTTTGATTATCTCATCGCACTACTTATAGTTACTTAATTTTTTTACATATCTGATTAACACTTTCATAATAAGAACATTTTCTGATCACGCTTTACTTTAATTTTTTCCTTCAAACTCATGTTTTCCTGTTATTCTAAGTCCTTATGGATTCGCTCCCATGTAAAGTATGTTGTTTTTATTTCTGATAATTACTTCTAATTGGTTTGTGTACATTTGAGATGGTGATGATGATAATGTAAGTATATCGTTTATTGGTTCATTAATATTTTGTGTTTAGTTTTTGAGACGGTTTATTTATGTCACTGTTAAATGTTCAATCTATGACAGAATTATACTGTACCCCAGTGCCCAAATTTTATACTTAATCAAGAAATAATGTTGCTGGTTAACTTAATAAGTGTTGATTCGTGCCCTTGTCATATACTTTTGGTCCTGTGCTCTAACATTTTGAAAATACTGTCTAGGAAATAAAGGCGAATATAGGGATTTTATAGACTACTCCCAGTTTATTCAGACTTATTAATAAAATCAATTCAAACGGCTTGACAGTATCCCAGTCCCTCTATGTGGCAACTTAACTGAACGTTCTTTCAATGCCGAAGGAAGTAAACTCTAGGTCATAATGAGACCATATTCCACCAATATGTTTCATTTATCGTGCAGCAAGGACTTTAAATCAGGGTTGAAGGCATTTAGTTCATTGTGATTACTCAGTTAATCTTCATATAAATTTTGAAGTATCTCACAGAATTTTTATGTATGCCTCACTGCACTTTCATCTTCAATACGTAATATCTGAAGAAGCCTTGGTTATGCGTGAAATGCTTATATGCACTAAAACCTTTTTTCTTGGTTGTAGCTTCAGTTGTATTCATTTTCTCTTTCTCCAAATGCATTTATTTATGTTATTATTGTTTCCTTGGGTTCCGAATAGAAAATAAGGCTTCAACAACACGTCTCTACTTTGTTCTACTTTCTGCTGTCGTCGTTAGCTGGGCCCACGATTGACCATAATCTCTCATCTCCTCCTCGCCACACGATCTCCATTTCACCTTAGGACGACTCACTCTTCGCTTCCCATTGGGATTCCACTTGAAGGCCTGTCGCGCGAAGTCGATTAATGGTCTCAGCGTGTGCCCTATCCATCTCCATTTTCCCCTAAATATTTGTTGACCGATAGGTTCTTGGTTATTTCGTTCTCATGGTTTCTTGTTGCTAATTCTTTCTGGTCCACCATTTGGTCTTCAATAAAGAGCCAGCGAAGGCAGCTGTTGTTAAAAGTTTTTAAAGCGTTGGAAATGCTCTCCGTGATGCACCAAGTTTCTGACCCGTATTTATATTATATATGTCCAAACCAATTTCATATGTAGTAGTTTGAAAAAATTTGCTCATTAGGTATATGATATTCATTATTATTTAAGTTTCTTTGTTTCTCAACAATGTCGTTTGCATTTTTATGTTCATTGGGAAATGCAAAAACTTTTATAATAATACATTTCTTTATTTCCACTGTGTATAACTTCTGATATTATTTAAATTAGTTTTTCTATATCTATAGACTTTTAAAATTAATCATTTTATTTAGAGCACAGTTTATTTTATGCGCCGGTGGTACAGTGGTAGAATGGTTGCCGACCATGCTTGTGGTCCGGGGTTCGATCCTAGGCCGACGCACCCCTTTACCCTTCTAAGCCAGTAATAAGACTGGTAGAGGAAAGGTTGGACATGAGGCTAGCAACCCCATCTTGTAAAAATCAACACCACTGCTATGGGAACTTCAAGCTCCTAGCTTGAAACCCTATGTTCCACTGGAAACGTAAAGGAATAAAAAAACACAGTTTAGTTTATATTGTATTAATTTTGATGTGGTTGTGTTCTCTGAGCTGGATGGTTAATTTGCGAAGCTTTCATCACCCTACTGGGTGACATCTTCAGCGCATACTTCAATTCGAGGAAGTAAGCTTTTAGATTTCTCCACGAGTTTATTAATCATCTCTCCTGGTGACCTTGGACGTGATTGGTTGTTTTTGTGTGTTTTCACACCTTCTAGGTTACTTGTATTAGAACTGATTGTTTCTTTGACTTGAACTTTGACCCTTTGTGTGTGAAGTTTCTTTCTTATCGGCTGATAAATTTTGTCTATCTCTGTGTCTATTGACTGATGATTCACTGGAATGCCAAGCTCCTAAAAATTCTCTAGCATTCTTGTTGTTTCCTCTGTCTAATATTTTAACGTTGTATTAGTTCTAAATGCATCATTACCCCCATTACATGATAGTTAATTTGTAAAACTAAAGCTACTGCAGATAGTTTCACCAGTTGTGAATTGCTTCTGTGCAATTCAATACGACTAAAAGACTTTGTTTTTGGAAACTAAAGTGATAATATTGCATGCAGAGTTAATCATTTTTCATTCATTTGGTAACTGGGTTAAAAGGGGTCTTAGTATCTGTTCCACAGACATTTCTTTTACTGGAAACGAAACACGTAGTTCAGCGAAGTCTCTTTTCGATGAATTCATTTTCTTAGCTGTACAACCGCAAATTTATATGAGTTATTTTGTATGCATGTATACATTAAGTTTTTCAAACAAAGATCCAAGTGGTTACGGTTATTTTAACTAATCAGGTGAAGATCGGTAATTGGAGTTTACGTAATACAAAATCGGTCAAGAAAACTGGGTGTTAATGAAATTAGGGTAGTAACAAAGGTTATGAGTTGTCGCAAACAGTTGTTAAAAAAGAAGTTATGTAATAATATGAATAGCTTGATGATTGAGTTGTACTCAGGGTACACATAGGAACAAAGTAGAGAATGCGAAATTACGTAAGAGTTCTAAATGAATACAAAAATTATGAGCAATTAAAGAAACAGGCAAACAAACAAAAATTAAGTCATCAAAAATCAACAAAGATGTTACCATGACAGTAGAAGTTGTTGAGTAATTCTCTCTTGTATGCACAGCTCCGGTTTTTCTATATGAATTACCAGAGCTTCAGCGATACAAAGAAGACGGAACCGTTCGGTAGGTTATTCTCGGCTCTGTAGATTACTTTGAAGCAAGAGGCGTTCGTTGAGATGGAATGATCAGTGTTAACTAGGTGTTCAAATATCGCATTCATTATTGTACTGCTACTGCCTTTTCGCAACCATAGTGTTCTTGAATCCTCTTGGACAGGGTGCGCGTCGAACGACTGATGTACCTGGCTCCACAGCAGCAAGTGAACTGATATATGCACATAGAAATGGTTAGATGCGGGATCTCATTCTTGAGGCTTCTGCAGATCAGTGGGCGACTGGAGAACACTATTCTTAGTGTTGCTGCAAAGAATGTTCTTCTCAGAGATGATGTGATCCTTCTCTTGAGAATATCACTTGCTGAATCTCCCTTGAAGTCCAAGTCCAT